ATGGTGCCTATATACAGTTTCCAGAGCTTTACTCCAACCTACTTACAGTTCAACCACATATGGGTTGCCTTTAGCTGTTTCATCTAATAAGTTAAGCAAGGTCCAGCCAGGTCAGTACCTCATGGGTGACCTCAAACGTCCACTGATTTGCTGTAGGTCATTTTTAATAACTCATTAGATGGCAAACTCTTAGTAGTGACAGAAATGAATCTCTATCCCACAATGGTGTGTTAGTGAGGAGTTTTCAGCTGTAGTTCTGGCTTTCAAATGAACTAAAGTTGAATCTCAGGCCACCTTGAATAAAAAAAAAATATTAAAACAAAAAACCCTCAACACCATAAAACAACCCAGATCAACACCCAAATGCACTTATGAAACTCAACATAAAAATAAACACGTCTGGCCATACTTCAATTCTTCTGCTGCCACTTCAGAGGAGAAGGGGAAAGTTATTTGGGCAATGTTGGAAGATGAAGGCACTAAATGCCTACTACTATGCCTTTATACAGTCATGTGCTTGAAGTCTTTACCATCCCATATACTTACAAGGAGGGAATGTGATTTCTGACATTGGTGAATGGTTCCCAGCACGAAGCAAAATGGACAAACACCTAATTTTATGTCTGCAGATGGCCAGATGCTTTGATCTGTGAGATGATGCATCCACATAACCCAGTGGAGTCAGAGGGAGGGGAAGAGAGAAAAAAAAGGGAAGGCAGTTGCCAAAATTGGCATCCAGCCCCAGCTCTTGAATGTTCTGGACCACCCTGAAAAGCATTCATATTAGTGTTTAGTAGTGTAATTATTAGATTGTTGGTATATGTCCCAGCAAAGTATGTTATTTGTTATTCTTTAAAATATGATCAGACTAAATATGTTGTCAGTGTCATAAAAACTAAGCTAATATTGTTGCTATCTCTGAGCCAGAAGAGTGTTGGATTGTACATTCCTTTTTCCAGGGCTGGGCCCTGTAGGCTGTGCTTGTACTGCTTTATTATATCACAGGACTGCTGTGCAACATTAAGGGCCGCCCTTGAGGCTGTCAGATATTACAAGAAGGAACACCATTCTCAGTGCCAGCATCTGTGACAGCTTTCCAGGAGAAAATAATGATTATATCACAGAAGTCCTGTAATAGGGGAAAAAAAGCTTAAGAATCAATAATAACTTCTTTCCTTGATAATAAAGCAGTATGGCAAGAAAGAGAAGTATTCTGCACTTGATAATAGAGAGTATGGCAAGAAAGAGAAGTATTCTGCACTTCCTTCATAGTCACATTCTTTAGTGGTCTCCCTTATTTTCTGTAAAACTTGCTGGGATAATTGGAATGCAAAATGAGTTGTGTGTGTATTAGTTTCATTCCATAGCCTTTTTATAGTCTAGATACTTTTATGGATCCTGTGACTAAAAAGCCCAACCAATTCATTACCCTTGGCATGCTCTTGCACATCTTTCAGACTGCACACCATGGTTGCTGTTTTTGAGACTTCAGACCTCTCTCTTCAGGTCAGTGGGATCTGTGACAGCAACTTAATTGCTACATGCATTTGTGCTGTCCTTTGGCAATTTCATTTCAGTTCCCTGTCACTGTACCTATTTGCCTGGGGGTTGGTTTTGTGTTAAATATCAGTAAAAACAGGTAACATCTATATGAACAATGGTAGAGCAAAATCCCATATAATTGCAAGCCAGCTCATCTAAATGGCAAGGGAAAGGAAATATTTTAATTATCTTTTAGCCTCCAGGAAGCAAAAGCAGAAATTATATTTCAAGAACTGTGGTGAAAGCTATTTACATTTATTATCTTTGAGCCCCATAACATCACATTAATGATTTTGTATTTATATTAAGCTTTACCTTTTATTCTTTTTCTCCCTCCCCAAATTTCTGAATATTCACAAGCATTAATTTACTACTATTGACATGTAAGTATCTTGGGGTGCAAATGTTGTTCAGCAGTAATTTAAAAACTTAAGAATACTGTTTCTAAGTGAAGTACTGGGAGCAATTTAAACAATTTAGTGTAATTATTAAAATTGGAAATTGCCCAGAACTACAAGGTTAACATACAGGTTATTAGATGATGAGACTGTAAAATTTTTATGAGGACAGATGGTCAGTAACTCAGTTGTATTTGGGGTGATGCATGTGGACAGAGATGCATCCACATCACAGCATTATCAGATTTAGAACAAGGAGCTTCAGTTTTAATCCCTCAGCCTGAAGGTTCAGGAGCCAGTAAAGATGTCCAATTTCCACACAGGTCTGCTGTTTGGTACTGTAGGTACATTTTTTCCCCATTACTTTCCTTTTCTTTGTATTCTAAGGATGCAACTGATTGTGGCCATATTTGCTTTTTTTATAAAAACAGTTGCACAAAATGTAACTTGATACATTATAAAAAGAACAGCCAGAATAACAGACATGCAGGGTGTGGGAAGGCAGTGAGTTGTCACTAACTTTCATTCTGAAGGAACCCAGTCAACATAGGTCACGTTTTAGTTGTGCCCTTTTATTTAAAATCCCTCCTTTATGCTCCTTTCAGTTAAAAAGATTCTGTTAGTTTCAGAATCACTAGATTAATGTTTACAGTGATCAGCATTTGGATGATTAGTGTTGTTAACTTGATGCAGAATATAGACTCTACCAGTCACACTCAAGGAAAACCTCCTGATTTTATTTGCATGGAGCTCTCTAATCTGTACTACAGATATATAAACATGTTAGGTGACTCTTCATAGATGGGCCAAGAAAAGTAATCCAAAATATCCATAGATATTTTAATGTGATTTTTAAAAGTGATTTATATTTCTATTTTTTATACATCGATATATTTTTTCAAATGCCATTGGGAGGACTTCACATTCAGTTTAGAGCTTAAGAGGTGGCTGACTACAGTTGTTCCATGACCTTATGGAACTGGAGTGTTTACAGAATTCAAAGAAAATTATTGGGTTGGAAGGCAGAGTGAAAGTTCTGCTCACGAGTGGCACTATAGCACAGGTTCATTAGGAAAGGGCATTAAAAGTTAGCCCTAAGAGACATGTGAGGAATTGATAAGACAGTAAAACACTAAGATACAATATGCAGTCTTGGAATGAGGTCCAAATGTAAGTTGCTAAGAACCACTGCAGTTTATTTAAAATATAAATTAGGATAAAATTATTCTGTTTGATTTGTTTGGCTTTTCACTGATCCTGCAGACTGAAGGGCATGTGAAGATCTTGTAGCCCTCTGGAGGCTTGAGAAATGGTTCCTTCTTTTTAACTCTAAACAGGTTTTTCTAGCAAGACTAGAAAAACAGAACGAACAAAAAACCCGACCCTTCAAACTTTGTTGCTCTTTTCAAAGAGGGATTAAATTTACCACCTTGTCTCAGTATTGTAATGCTGAGTCAATAATGCCACAGCAACTTTTAGTGATTTACATACTCCACTAGAACTTGTGAATAGAAGCAGAATAAGAATATCAGTGTTTGAACCAGAACTGGGAAGTTCCAGTGGACTGAGGAGAGGATTCTCATTTTAGGTCTTCACCCCTCAGGTAATGTCCAAATGCCGAACAATGGATTGACATTTTGGAGTGCTGAAACAGGAACATATTTTTATAAACTGATGATAGATCCCAGTCTTGGCAGTTAATTTGTGATCTCTTGGTCGCAGCTTGTTACTGGGGTAACTGCAGACTGGGAAACAACTGGACAATGGATGTTGCCAGCTAGACTAAGCTGAAGGAGTACCCTTGGACTAGGACATTGGTTTGTTTGATATGTGTCTGGTTGGAGAGATTTTAAGTGTATATTTCATCCTCTAGAGAAAGAAGTAACTATACTTGACAGTTTTTAAAAATAACAGCTGTTTTGTTGACCTTGCTTTTTCACATTCTGTCTATATAAACCTAAATATTTAGGTGAAAGCAACATGCAAACTTGTGTAGCTGAGATTTCCCTTTTTCTTCTGTTTTTCTTGACGAGTGCCAGGGAAGATAACAATTCACCTTTTTTCCACTCCATTAAAACAGCATTCCAAGCAGTCTTCAGAAATCAGTCCAGCAACATTATTTTGCAAGCTAATGGATGCTTTATTTCAAATGCTTGAGCAAATGTTACTGTGTATTCATGTATGCACACTTTTGCAAATTAAATAATGCCGCTGTGATTTCAGTTCAGTTTTTTCCTTTCTATTCTGCTGACTTTACATACAGATTGATTTGGGAATATGGTGTATCCTAATTGTTTCTCACCTTTCAAAATTCATGGTTTGAAATTCAGTAAGTTTTTAAGACATGTTCATTGATTTCTCATTTCCCACTGTCGAAACAAATCTGCAGCTTTAAAATGGGCTTGGGCTGCCTGTGCTTTTAGGGATTGATAGATGAGGATGTTTTAAACAGAACAGTTTCAACATCAAGGATTTACTTTGTAGTTTACTTTTAAGGAGAATAAAAGAGAATTGGGTAAATGTTGTGAAATGTGGGTTCAGTGTTTTCCTAATAATATTAGTGTTATTTGTCATGAGATTTTGGTTTTGTACGTATATCATAATTCAAGTGTGAAATAAAAGGTATTTCACTTTCTGTTCCAACATGGAAACTTTCAGATTTAATGAGAATGATCTTACCAAGTTGAAGGTTAAAAAAACATAAAGTGTGTCCATGAGACATTCCACGCATTTAGGGAAGGTAAATTGAGTAAATAATCTGTTGTTAGATTGACTTATTTATGTTCTTCAGGACAAGTGATACAGTTCAAGGTAGATGGTCTAACGAGCAATTTTAACTTATCTAAAAAATGTACCTGGTGTCTCTGCTCTGTTTTAGTCATACTTCTGTTATTTGAGCAAATAATTTATTTTGAATCATTTATTTGACAAAAGAAAATAAAAATGTTCTACAATAGTTTGCTGTCAATACATTTTTGGGTATTGAATGAGCTGAAGATGATAGAGTTCAAGGGATTCTTCTTAGATAAAATAATTTGTGTGTATGTTGTTTGTTTCCAGACCCGGCCATTGTAAATGGAGTTTATTGGTCAGAATCTTTAAATAAGGTGTTTGTTGACAATTTTGATCGTGACCCTTCTCTCATCTGGCAGTACTTTGGAAGTGCAAAAGGATTTTTCAGGCAATATCCAGGTAAGAAGTACAGAAGTTCTTACTTAAAATACAATAAAGAATGCTGTGGTTGAAAATTTCCACTGAGTATTGTCACAAATCCTGACTTCAACAGATATTTGCAGGTTTGGTTTTACTTTATCTAGTTTTCAGAGAGAGAGATTTCTAATCAACATTTTCAACCTTCTGAAGTTTTTCGACCAGTTTTCATTTTGGGGGTGAAGCCCTCATGATAACTCATGTACTCATAAATATTCCTATTCAGGTAGGCATATAGACACACATGAAAAATATCTTATAAACAGACTGTGAAGAAGGAGGGCAAAAGGATTAGACTCTTCATATAGGAGTGAATTTGAATACTGTGCTCTATCAATGCATACAGTTAGAATTCATTATAATTTGTTGTTCAGCTTCTAGGCTTCCGCTTAAGCTGACGTTTTTAAACTTACATTTAAAGATTTCAAAAACTTGCTCTAAAGTTTATTTTCTCACAAACTGTAATAAAATGAAATTACGTCACTTGTATTATTTCTATTGAAATAGGTTAAAACGTGTATTTTCACCCATTAAGTTTTATGTTTAATCCCATACCGAATTTACCACATTATAATAAACTAAAAAGTGAAATACACTGGTTCTCAGCTTCTGTAACTTTGGATCAGGCCAAAGTGGGGACTGTTCCTTTAGCTGACGTGGTTTAGCAACCCATGTTTTTTTAAGTCTTGATTTAAACAAGTTTACTCTAAGCCTGTATGTCTGCAAGTGCCTGAAAGTAATGGCTGCTACATCTGTGTTAGTTTTACATTGTATTTCAGTTCCCAAGCTCGATGATATTTCAGGGTACGAGAAATATTAGTCTTTGTTTTAGAGGCTGTTTCTTGTTTTGTGCTCGAAAATGAGTGTAAAATAAAAAAAGAGGAAGAATTACCCTGTCAATTTTTTTTCCTTGGAAATGTTTTTATCGTATTTCTTTTGACCCACAACCAGGAGATATTTATTACCCCTTCACAGTGATGTGAGCAAAACATCAGGAGTATGACCTGTGAGAGGAGCAGTTGGTGTAACAGGAGCTGTTGAGATCAGCCATGGGTAGGAAGTGCTCAAGGTCTGGAAGGGCCTTGGCCAAGCACATGATAAAGCTTGCCAGCACCAAAGGCCAAGTGTGAAAACACTTCTGTGAAAGTAGTACAATGAACATAGTAGGCCTTCTGAGGTTTTCACCTCACAGTAGGCTAAAAAGGAGTGAGGAAAAAAAGATTATTTCTGGTGGTCTTATTTTATTAATTTTATTTTTCCCTACTATTTCCTATGTTATAATGGCTCTGCCTGTTAGATTAAAGTATGAAACTCCATTAACCCCTACTTAGCCCCAATACCAAAGATACATTTTGAACAGGTACTGTGAAAATGTAATTTCATCTTTTATTCTCTCTTTTTTAAACAGGAATTAAATGGGAACCTGATGAGAATGGAGTCATTGCATTTGACTGCAGAAACAGAAAATGGTAGGCAATGACTACAGGTGTTAAAGAAATTTGAAAGGATAAAAAGTTCGTATCTAAAAGGAATTGTTCTGTCTTGTGTCTCAGGTACATCCAGGCAGCAACTTCTCCAAAAGATGTGGTAATTTTAGTGGATGTCAGTGGCAGTATGAAAGGGCTTCGCTTGACTATTGCAAAACAGACAGTTTCATCAATTTTGGATACCCTTGGAGATGATGACTTCTTCAATATAATTGCTGTGAGTGTCTCAGGATTTCTTTTTTTTTTTTCTTCCATCACTTCTTGCTATCTGTCATGTTTTACATCACAAAAGCCCACTGAAAAATGCTGCAGACAGGTGATGGATATTGTGACATCTGAACCCACTGGACAGACACTGTGTTTTTCCAGTGCAAGATTCTTCAGGTGACAGAGATTTCAGACTGTTTGCCCAAGACCTCCAATTTGAAACTCCTTAAACAAGTTGTCTTAATTTTGGGGCTTGTAATATGTGTTTGTTTTTTTTTAGTTTGCTTGAACTTCCTGTATTACCTTAATTTTTAAGTTCAGGGTGTTTCTGTGTTCCCCTTGCCTTCCACCTGTCTCCCCCTCAGCTACTGCAATACAGTGCAAATTGCAAAGTGATTAATATGTGAGAATTAATAGATTCAGGTCCAGCTTTTGCTGAAGCCCTTATGGCATGACAAAATGCCAGCATAGCTGCTCGGTGCTCATGTTTTCCTCAGTGGGAATCTGAAATGTAGGTATGTGTAAGCTGTGCAGAGGAGTTGCTGGTGATTACTAACAGTGAGGAATCAGATCATCAGTAGTTAGTTTTCCATGGTACATGTTTTAAATCTATGACAAGGGGTTGCTTTTACTAAATTTAAAGAGTAACGGGGTTAATCGTGTGGGTAAGGATGGCTTTAACAAGTCCAAAACTGACATCAGAACTAGATTTGGAGGGGAGGAGGAATTGGTGGTTTTATAAATTTTCCTTTGCTGATATTGTTTTGCTAATACTTTATAGGTAAATGGTTTTATCAAATGCATAAATCCTAAAAATGTCTTCGACTTCTTGAATGTAGGGAGGATTTTGGCCTTTTTTTTTGCTAAAAGGGAAGTGCCCTTTTTGAAATAAATGACCCCAGTGACACTGGTGCAAATCGAGATTCTATGGAGAATGAACTATGGATATGTGCATATACTGTGTTTTTAACAGATAGCGAGCAGTTCAGAATATCTTTTGTATTAATCTCCTTGCATGATAATTGCATAATTAACAGAAACTCATGTAGTATAAAGACATAATTACATACTGTATCAAAAAAAGGTTTACTGTCCTTCAAAAAATTGTGATTAACTGTAATCTAAATAACTTCTGCAAGTTGAAAGCATGTTTCAACTAAGTAATTATTAAGATGCCTGACCAGCCATTTTTTGGTGTATAATCTCTGTGTTTATCAGCAGTTGTGATAGTTACTGTGAAGGATGTAGGAAGAAAAAAGAAATGTGTTTTTTTAAGTGAAGTTTCTTACATACGTAGCTTGAATCCAAAGTAATGATTTTGCCTACGTAGTACAGCAGAAATACTGTGTAAATAGTTTTTAAAAAGCAAGTGTGAAAAAACTAATTGCCATTTTTTCCAATTTAAAGTTTAATTGAAAGTGAACTGAGCTGTGTGTAAAATAGCATGGAGTCACAGAATTTTAACATCAGTTATTGCTAATGACACAAACTTCTGATCACTGATTTGGGCATTGAGAACAGGAAAGAAATGGCAAACTGAGCCTTTCCTCCCTGTTTCCCAGGCTGTCTCCTGTCCAACACCCCACTCTGTGCCCTGGTCCCAGCACTTTTGTTGCCGTTTCAATCCCTCCCTTCTCCTGGCTGAGGTGCAGGAGCACCTGAGGCAGCTGCTGCTGTGTTGGTTTCCATCAGCAGTTCTGGGCTCAGCAGTTTCTCTCTGTCCCTCCTCACTGCTCATTGTTTCTGCTGTCTCTGCTCTTCATTTTTCTCTTCATTGGGTCACCCATGGCCGTGGTCCCTCAGTGGTGCCCCCACCCTGGTGTGGGTCACCCTCAGCCCACGGTGTCCAGCAGCACACCCCTTTCACCATGGCGCTTTTCCAGCTGTCTTTCCAAATGTTTCTGACCCCTAACAACTCCTTCCATGTGCTGCCTGTGCAAAGGCACCACAGCCCCCCCAGCCTGCTGGTGCTGCTGCCCTTTGGGCACCTCAGAGGTTGCTTCAGCCAGAGTTGGTGCTGATTGGAACTGGCTGTGATGGGCACAGGGCAGTTCATGGCTCTCTCCCACAAAGGCTTTGGCTCCAACCCTCTCTTGCAGTGCTTTGCTAGTATCAGAAATTCTGAGTATTTAGGAAGAAATGTAATTACTGACGTAGTTACAGCATTTGTCTGAGGTAGTTTTTTTCCTCTGTAGGTTCTCTCCTCTATAACCTCTTTTAGGATGGATGTGTGTTTGTTTGTTCAAATAGTTAGAAATAGCGGCTGAGAATTGTTTTTATGCTTACCAGCTCAGCTGTTTAATTTCGTTAGGACGTTGATGCTTTAGTGATTGTGCAAATATGGACCTGAAATTATTCACTGCATTGAAAGAGGTACCACATGCAGGGAGAACAAGGAAGAGTGGCAGTGAGGAGGTGAAGTACTGTCCTGTTGCCTCGGAGTTCTCCTGTGGGAAGAGTTTGTAGGGAGTCATTTTGGACTAAGTCAAAAAATTCTTAGAATATGTTGAGTTGGAAGAGTCATTGAGTCCAACTCCTGGGCCTGCAAAGGGCACCCCAAGAATCACACCTTGTGCTTGACTGTGTTGTCCAAATGCTCCTTGAACTCTGTCAGGCTTGGTGTTGTAACCACTTCCATGGGGAGCCTGTTCCAGTGCCAAACCACTCTCTGGTGAAAAACTTTTTCCTGATATCTAACCTAAACCTCCCAGACTCATGCATAACAAACTTCATGCTTTGCTGTCTCACAAGGCAAAAAAAAAATTAACAGTAATGTAAAGAAACCACAAAATTTGTTTGCTTGAATATGTAACTAATTAGCAACAGAGACCTGTGCTGTGGAGAATGGAGTGGACCTTTTAGTGAGGAAGGGCACAGGTAGACTGAGTCTGAATCACGAACTTCTTTCAAGATGTGGTGTGTTAAACACATAGCAAGGGTACACAGTAAAGCCAGAGTCACTGTGACCTACATTAACAGCAAAAATTACTTCTGAAGCATTGCTTTGACCAAGTGCCAGCAGGGCAAATGAATTCTGTCAAGACCGAAGATGTTTCAGTGATCAAAACACGAGACAACAAAGCCCACACAAGAGGCTGCTTGGTGTGAAAGCACTGAAAATTCCATACAGCTTTTATCTGTAGACAGATGTTTGAGTGAGATTATATCTTACTCTTTGTGATTTCGACACAGCCTGGTGATGTGACAGCAGTTTCATTTGAAGGTAACATACACATATGTCCATAGAAGAAATACCCTTTGTAATGTAAGATCTCTGCTCGTACAGCAAGTCTCTGTATCTAGAACTGACCAGCTGTGCAGTGTGTGCAAAAACACATCCTCTGTGCCCAGATGGTGAAACCTTGCTCTTCACACAGCACGCAGCTCGACTGATTGCTCTGAAAGGCCTGTCCAAATTGTTGCTCTGTGGGGACTGCCTGGACATCTGGAAGTCTCAGACAAACAGCCAAGTACCTCCTTCTCTTCCCAGGCAGAACTCTGAGGTGGAATAAGAGTGTTATTATTGTAGGAAATCTGGACAAACAATGTACTTATTAGATGAAGCAAAAGTTTTGAGCCTGAGTGACTGTGACTTTCAGGGTGGCTTTATTATGCAGTGACTATTGGAGGAAATATTTGTATGCATCTGTGTATATATGTATACATATATAAATGTAGGTATAGCAGAGAGCAGAATTCAGTGCAGGTCTTTCCAGAGAATAAATATAAAAGGATGATGTTAAAATCATTTTAGCTTTCCTGGGTAGGTTGTTGCAAAATCCATCTGAAATTGATGGACTAGATGATTGAACTGCAAAAAATTATTGAAACACAAGAGTGATTTTGTGCTGCCTGTGTTAAAATTTGAGGTCAGTTCTTTGGTGCATGAACAGAGATGCCTGCAACAACAAGAGAAAAGGCATATTTTTCCAATTTGCTTTGAAGTGTAATTCCAAGTCAAGCATTAAACCAACAATATTATCATAAAAGAAGTATTAATTTTGCAAAATGCTGTAGTTTTTAAAATGCTTTTATAAAAATGCAAACTCCCCATTAAATTAGCAAAATATTAACTGAGCCAAGAATGTTAATTTTACTGCTTTAACCACACCACTTTAGCAAAAATGATTAGAATAAAAGTATTTGTTAATTCAAAGCACAGTAATATAGTTCCCTGCTTTAATATGTAGCATTTTCCATCATAAGTGGTTTCAGCATAATCTCTATTTTTTAGTCCTTCAGGGTGGACTATGGATAAATTTACTTTTTAGCCTCCTTGAATAGTGAGATTCTGTACAGGTAATATGTGAACAGCCTGGAAAAGGGAACAGCAGCCCAAAGGAACCTCTGTACGATCCCTCCTAGGAGTGGGCTGTGCTTGTGTGCCACTTGTAGCCCAGGGAAACACTAGTGGAAATATGAATTCCTTTGATTCCTTTTCTGTTTTGGCTTCACTGTTGGACCTTAGGTTGGGCTGTATTGGATATCTGAGTGTGCTTAATATAGCGGGAAACCTTTTACCTGTGTATTGTTGCACAACAAAATGTGCATTTAATTTATTTCTGTGGACCTCGCTCCAGACAGCTTAAATATGACAAAGGATAAATATGAAAAAAGCTAAGGAAAATGTATACTACTTGTGCAAGTGTGCTAGAACCATATATATATCTCACTTGTGCTGTCTCTGTGAGAATAAACATTTTTATTTATCCTTTTTTTGAAGTAGGTTGCTTCTGTAAAGTAGGGCTATGAGGACACTTAAAGCATGTCCTCTGTGAAAGCTTGAGCATCCTTTATCCTGCACAACTGAGTAACACTAAAGGCATAGTTGGGAACTACAGGGAATCTCTCTGGGATGTGATGCAGCTGGCATATAAGCTACATGTCTGTGGGAATAGCCTGATGATATGAGATACTCAAAATAGTAGTTAAAATAAATCTCATAGAAATGTAGTGGACAGAAATGATGCCACTTAGATGCAAGGTCTGATAGAGTAGGAAGTTGTTTCATCTGTTTGCTGGTGGTGATGGGCCTGTAAAAAAATGTGGTGGTACTACAGCATTAGGAAATCCTGAGTTTGCTTTCGTGCAGGTGTTTGAAACTGAGACACTGACTGAGAGAAAGGCAGACTTCAGCATTTTACTGCGTGTTGGCCAACTACAGACACTGTGCTTGGGGTCGTATAAAGAGATGTGTAATGACAGCTACAGAAATCAAGCTAAGAACAGGCTTAACTGGAAAATGTCTTCATTAAAGAACATGCTGAGAAAAACCTGTGTGAGGACAGGAAAAGGCTTGGAAGAAGAGGCTGGTGTACCAGAGCCTGTTACAGATTTTCAGTACTTGTTTTACAATAGATTGGAATATAGCCTTGCCTTTGGACTATAATAAGAGATGCTGTGTAGATTTGGCACTATTATTTTGCAAAGACTCTCAGGAGATAGATTGGAAGGCAGTCTGAAGGGAGAAACTACAGGGGAAAGTACATCATTTATCAGATCAATAAACTGTTATGAGACTGAGATGCACGTGGGACACTCTCAGTGACTCTAAAGTGTTCTAGAAGCCTTTGCCTTGTATTTTGCATTACCTTTGGAACAATTGATATGTCCACACACTCTCATATATTGAAATAACATTGATGGGAATAAAATAATTAAGGAAGCATGCAAATCCACTGCAAAAATTGTGTAAATATCTTTCAAGCACTTTTCCTTGTTTCTCTACAACCAGTTACTCTGTTGATGCTGTTGTAAATCATCTGTATATCCAGCAATAATAGGTTACTCTGGGTTTATATTTCCTTATAACTGAGGATTGAGTCTGGCACAGCGCCTCAAGAATAACTTCATGCAGTTCTAATTAAATACTCTTCCCTGTGCAAGAGTAATTATGTAATGATGAGCGTGGTGAGTAGTGCACAGTTAAAATGAATGGTGATGACAGGTGTCTAAGGTGGCTCAGGTTGCAGGGGTTTATGGTGTAGAGAAAAGAGTGATGTAAAATGGAATAGAGTAGAATAAACTTGGAGCTACAGGCAGAGACAGTGAGAACTTGCAGTGACAGAGAGCCCTGTCTAAGCGGCATCTGTGACGAGTTGTTCATTGCAAGGCTTTTTTATTCCCACTGAGGTGGAGTAAGAAGGGAGAAAATGCATGTATTAATCTAAAAAAATAGATTCTAATGAAACATAATCTAATGAAATATTTTCCCTGATTATTTTTGACTTGACTGAATGCGTTGTCTTTTTTTGTTTACTGTGGATGTTCTGACTCAATGCCTTGTGAAAGAGTGAAGCTGCTGGATGCAAAGCCAGTTTAATCTGTGATAACTTCTAAAGTGGATTAAATTAATGGGAGGAGGAATTAAGTTAAGGCCCTATCTAGACAACTATATGTAGACTCTTTGAAGGTTCTACTTTAATAATTTGACCTGTGTTGAAAGGTTTTAAAGATTTAAACGATCAAGTCCAAATATCAGTCAGGCATCCATGAGTCTGCAAGGTCTATTGACTGCAGATGAGCCTTCATTTTTTTGATGCTTAAGATGCTTCTGAAAGTAGGACTGGGCAATCTAACTTAGACCTTGCAAGATAAGCACATAATTCCTTCAAGGTCTGTCACATCTTCCTGACTTAGTGCATAATAAACCCCTCTGCTTGACTGAAATTCTGACAATTGTCAAACATTTCCAGGATTGATTCAAGCTTACAGATTTTTTCGGTGTAGTTGTTCCAGTATTAACCTTCCAGAATGTTAGCCAGTGCCACAAATATTTTTTAGGACTTTTTTTGTATGTAGCAAAGAATTGGGAGTTTTGATTGTGCTGTATCAAACATGACCTCTTAATATTATGCAGATTTCAACTTGGAGGATATTTTTGCCAGCTACTGTATGTAGTACCCTTAACTCCAGCTGAGTGTTGGCATCCATTCAATTAAATATTCCTTTAGGAGTATAAACCTCTGAAGAATTAAGAATCATGTAAAAGGAAAAAAAAAACCACAGCCATTTTTTTTAAATGAACAAAATCCTTTTGTTCTTGATTTCTGTGAGTGTTTCACTGCGGTTCTAAATCGTTGAATTAAATTGTATCTTCCAAGCTTTTAATTAAATTTTTCATCGTATTTTGTATTTCTCTCTCTAGTATAATGAAGAACTCCACTATGTAGAGCCGTGTTTGAATGGAACATTAGTTCAAGCAGACAGAGCCAACAAAGAGGTAAGGAATGAAAGTAACAAGACAGTGGAGAGACAGGATGCAGTGTGTAACAATGTACCATAACGACCTTTTCCCAGGACAATTCATTCCATTATTAGCATTTATTAATTATTCTCCTCATGCTATTTCAAAGGAGTTTTATGTGACTCAGTAGGAAGAAAAAGAAATAACCCTCTAGTCAATGTGGTTGAATTAACTTAATGGAAAAATACAGAAATCACTGAAAATATACTGTTAATAAAGTTTAGTAATTATTTTAAGTAGAATATTTCAGCTGCTTTAATTTGAACTATCATTCTGTTACCAAAAATTACTGAGGAAGAGATTACATCCTTAAATCAAATACTGAAGTTTAAACAAAATCGCAAAACAAATGAACACAAATATAATACTATACAAATAAAAGAATTTAGCTTTCCAAACAGGTCTGTCAATGTAATAATGCACTCATTCAAGAATGTTCTCTAAAAATGTTCAAATTAGTTATATCCTGATGGAATTTTTCAGGAAAAAAACTTGCAGTAATTTCAGTGAAAATTGCATTTTAAGAAAGATCTCAGTTTGAATCTGCAGCTTGAAGTTTAGTTTTTTGACTGCCATCCAAATGCAGTTGCTCAGTGGAGGCATGACTCCTAGGAGGGTAAGGTAGGATTGTTCATGCCATGTAAAATTATGAAATAAGGCAGTTGAAAAGTCCTGTGATTCTTGCAGAGGGAAACACCTGTAAGCCTTAAGCCAATGAGCCACTTGTATTATTGTAGAACTTCTTCCCTGCTAAGGCTTCCTCTCCTCTTAAAGTGATCTGTCCACCTGTAATGAATCTTGCTTATGGCTGGAGGGGGCAGCAGTCATGCATCTTTCTTTAAATAGTTGTCTGTTTTTATTAGAGGCTAATCAGAAGAGTTTCAGCTCAACATTGAATTGTGCTTAACATCCAGTGTGGTGGCTCATTTTTACTGACGTCAATGAGATGTTATAGGAAGTAGAAAACGCAGCTCAGAAAAAGCACTGAACTGTGTCAATGCTGGGTCTTTTTATGTGTAGCAAGACAAAATTATTTTGATCTTGTTATGTTGATCTTTACTCCATTGTAGTATTCCCAAGAGTTCTTTGCGTTTTACCTGCATATACACCCACATTCTACAGAAATTATTCTTCATGGGCTGCTTCCTTGGTATACTTGATATTTCCCACTGTAGTTATCTGAATATCATTTGGTTACTATGTGGAATGAATTGTTTCTAACAATTTGGTGTTGAAGTCTTGTGTGAACTGTGATGCAGTTTTCTAAATGAGCACTTTGTTGTGGGTGTAGTTAATGAGCCATATGAAATCCGTGCAAGTTCTAGACACAAACCTAAAGATTCAAACATATTGCCCAGATGTCCTGTCTGGAATTAATCCTACTGTTAACCTTTCCATCACTCTACAACTGATCAAAATGCAGGTTATTGTGCATCCATATGTTACTTAATGTCAGATTCATTTCAATTTAATTAATCAAAAAGTTTTTACACCACCCAGATGATGCTCAGATTTTATGAACTGTGCTCAATTGTTCAAAATAACTAAGTACAATTTCATTTTTTGTTATTGAGAGCAATCTTTGGTATAATTTCTTGTTTGCTAAATTATTTTATTTATTTATTTATGGAATAGCTTTGTGCTTTATTTTGCCTGTAAATTGAATAATTCAAGGTTTGGAGGAATAATTAAATATGACTTGTTTTTTTCTAGTTATTCATATCAGTAAGGTAGGTAATGTACTTTCACTGACAGATCAGAACTAGAGAATAAACTTGAGATAGGTAGCATTTGATAGTTCTATGTATTTGTATATGCCACAACTTTGTCAATCTTCATTTCTTTTTAAAGTGAGCTTTATATGTTCTTATTATTTTTCTAGTTAGTGTAATGAAGTTAAAAATTTATTTGCCTAAATACTCAAAGGCACAAAAGTGCCATTGTTCCGAGTATAGCTCCGAGTATTAAGTAAAGATTGTCCAAGGAGATGGACAACCACTTAATCTTAAATGAGTAATTCAGTTATTATGCTCCTGAATTCAGTTACAAACAGCCCTCTGAAATATCTGATACTGTTGTAAGATGTGATGCTGAGTGATTTGAATATACTGACACAGCAAATTTACCTGGGGGCCTCATCAAAACCTCACTGAATTAACTGGAAAAGGTTCTCTTGAATTCACAGTCTGTTGGTCAGGCACACAGAAAAAAGATGTCTTAAAATGTTGTTCATGTGTCTGTTCCAAAGCTGGTAAAAAGCTATCAGAGTGTTTAGCTGTGTTTTGGAACTCATCATAAGTATTCAGTCATTTGGGCTGTTACTGTCATTTCTGTGTCTGACAGATATACCACACTTCTGTAATTTTTTTTCCTGTGTAATTCCCACATGTCCCTTGTAATATCAGAAAAAAGTAGATAAAATTACACTTTCTCAACCAGTCTTACAAGGTAGATTCTCATTTGCATGTTCACTGGTAGTAATAACACTTTCTTTTGTTTACTAAGTGATAAACATGAAAAATGTATAATGACAAACACTGTGTTATGTAGTTTTTCCAAACAGTCATCATGAAAATGTAACCATGTTTCTGTATTGGAAAAGTAGAACAGGTGGTTTGCAGGCAATGTTTTCATATAGTCTGTTGTTTCAGTTTATATATGTCTACATATGCCTGATTTTTTTGAATTTCAACATAGATCTGAAGATGGAACTATATATTCATCCCAGAACTTTCTATCCTTTGTGTTTATGTCAAATAGTCTCCACAACTGAATGGGTGCAAGGATGACGACATCTCTTACTGCCAGTATAATCTCTTAGCACCAAAACAAAACAAATATAACCATTTTAAAAAAGAACATCTTTTTTTCTTTTGCTGCCAAAAATATGATACTCTCGGGCACGTGGTGTGACTCTTGAGGATAGTCCTGTGCAGGGCTAAGGGTTGGACTTGGTGATCCTTGTGGGTCCCTTCCAGCTCGGCATGTTCTGTGATTCTGTGCAATGTCTCTTCCCATATTATAACTTCAAATAGAAACAATCAAAAAATGCTGGAATGGTATTCCATATTGTTATAGTTTTCTTTTATGTGGAAAGAGCAGATCTATACTTCTGATGATTGCAGGGACTGGATTTTTAGCAGTTCACTCTACTACTCTTTTAAGTAGCTATACATCCTCCTGACCTTACTTAAGACAGGTATTACTTAATGCAGCATTGTTGCTGGAAGCATGCATAGAACCAGTTTTACCAAACTGTTAGTTCATGCTGAGTAAACTGTAATTTCTACCATTTTGGAAGTACATGTCTCTCTCCTTCTCTCTCTCTCTCTCTTTTTTTTTTCTTTAATACATGACTGCCAATATAAAAACTCCCATTAAATGATCCTTAACAAAAAAATCTCTCCACAACATACACAGAGGCACACCCCAGTTCTTGCTGACTGCATCTTGCTAGGTTCATCTGACATCACTTGTAGCAAATACAGTTCTTAGAAGCAGAGATAAGAAATTACTTTGAGATGTTTGACTGGAGCTTTTAATCTCATGCGGAAAGCAGCTGTTTCAATAACTCCAAATAAAAATTGCTTTCGCAGGATCAGTACCCCAGTCTGTATTTGTCTTGAAAGTATTTATTGAAGAACTACTTTGCTGTCTTTCTGTAAGTCTCAGACGTTTTCAAATGGAATCTTTCTACTCTGAGGATGTCACTTAAACATGCCAAATGCCCTTCTTTGAACACAGTTTAAACTTTAGCAAAACAAAGAAGTAGAAATAGGAGATCTAGAAGATTAGCTATCCCTACCACTTGCCTTTCATTTGTAGTGAGCTAAGGGGCAAACCAGCTTCTCAGCAGAATAAATAGGGTTAAATTACACTAACCTGGGGCTGGATGTGGGGAGAGACCACATCCTCTCTTTTTGGGAGAGCGGGGTGTAGTGTTTGCTTCTGCTGAGAGGGTTCCCATGTGCCAGCACAGACTCTGCCCAGCTCATCCTGAGCCCTCTCCTAGCCACAGCCTGGCTTTCCAAGGCTCAGGCATAAGTGAACCCTGTGTTTGCCACCCCCAGCAGCCTCTTGCCCCAGGCACTTGGGCTACAGCCAGAGCCTATTCTGTTCCCCTGCACAGCCTGGCTAGGTAAGATGAAACCTGGGAGCATCTTCAGGGAATGGAGCATAAGGATATTTTTTGGTAGGCTACAGGAAACAGCTTCAGCCTCAGGGCTTGTAGCAGCCTGGGAAATGAGTGTTTCTCAATGGTGTTGGTGCTGAATATTCGATGGGATTAAGGGTAGCAAATGAACACTGCTCTTTCACATTCAAGGATGGGTTGCAGAAATTCTTATCCATAATGTGCAGGGAATGTAACAGGCTTCCAGAGAGCCAGACTTTCAGAAAATCCAATTAGTCTTAAGGAAAAAAAAAAAAAAAAAGATATCTGGTGTCTGGTTTGCACATTTTCTCAGTGAAACACGGTCATTCTTGCTCCCCTCCACATCTCTTCACTTTTTGGGACAGAATCAGTGTTGTAAACACAGTGTTAATTCCACAGATTGGCTCTAGACCACTTACCATTATTTTCTGGACCACAGTGTGGGAAATAATTACCTAAAAGAAAAAAAATTAACTCTCATTAAAGTATGAAAAAGCATTTAAAGCACTGTAGCCCTCTTATATCCACTCTGTGAGAAATGTATATTAGTTTTCAGTTCCAAGCATCAGGAAAGATACTATAAAGTCCACTTCCACCCTTCTCTCCCCGCCCCTTCATTTTTCTCTGTCTTTCGTGTAAGAACATATACCTGCCACTAGAGTAAATCTGCACAAAGTGCACACAGAGCAAGGAAGCTGCATTTCTCTTTGAATGACACCGCAGTTATCATTGGTGAAGCCACATTCTTTCCTTCTCTTCCTCTGTGATGTGCACTCTGTATTCCGGTTGCAACTTTACTTAAATTAAGAGTTAAAATTCAACT